TGAATGCCTTGAATTTCAAGTGGTAAGTGTGTTAAAAAAAACTGACAGCATTTACCAAATATAATATAATTTATATCCACCCTTAAATTTTAGCCCCCCTCCCTATAATTGACAAATAAGATAAATAAGCAGACAAATAAGACAAATAAGCAGCTATAAGCTGAATATATCAGCTATTAGCTGAATATATAGAAGCCCACCCTAAAATAGAAGCAAGTATTTTAGATGCCCACAAATAAGATAAAAATGTTTTTTTTGTTTTTTTACATAGCTGAATATATAGAAGCCCATCCTAAAATAGAAGAAGTATTTTAGATGCCCACATTTTAAGGATGTTGAAAAATGGAACTCCTGCTTTTATTATACTATTTATGGTGTGTTGATAAATAAATTTAACGTTTTTACTTATTAGAAAAATGTAGTGCATGTTTCTATTGCAAATATACAACACGCAGCTGTCATCATCTATAAAGGGTCTATTACCCAATGCTGTAAATTTGAAACATTGCTGGATATTTTTATGGACGATTTTGGTGATCAAAATCCTAGCACTGATGAAGTAAGCAAGTTTGCCCTCAATTATATTGAAGGCAATACTGACGGAAAAAGAAAACATTCCGATGGGGACCAATTTTCAGGTAACTTATGTAATATAAATATGTGACAATGACAAGACAATATTATAGTAATTTTATTTAAAATTTACTCTTCTGTGCAGTTGTGACTGGACCATGGTGCCGGAGTGCAATAGCACCCTGGGTCCAAAAAAGGAGGTTTCCTTTGTTACCAGACAGAATTAGTTATTATGTCTGCTACACAAGTAATAATTAATTAAACATTTTTGTTAAATAATAAAAAATTACACAAAATTCACAAAAAAATTATCAAAACAAGTTAAAATTGCACTATCCCATGGTAGGTGGGGATCCCTTGGATCCACTAGTAGCCTAGCCCCTAGTACACCCATGATTAAATGTTTGTAACCACAACTTGTTCATGTTTTTTTTTATAGATTCAGAGAATATTGCACCGGTCTCAGAACATACAGGCCTAAACGGACCTAAATACAAATCGTCTCCTAAATCAAAGGTGCTGAAAAAAAAACATGTTAATGAAGTGTTGAATGAAAATTCAGGTAATTTTAATAATATTACAATTTTGTTTATGTAATTTCTTGAACATATTTTTATTGTCTTTTTCATTTATAGAATCAGACAAAAATGATGCAAATCCTTTGCATCATTTTTTAATAGTCAAAAAGGATCTAAAAATAGTGAAGCACAGATTATGGCATTGTCAAGTAGCATTGTCAAGCGGAAGCTTGACATGCTACTTGACAATGTTGATGCTCCCAGAGCATTGATGCTCCAGAGCATTGATGCTCCCAATGATTAATGATGTTCCTAAAACAAAACACTGTGGTTCACCGAAGTTAAGCAAACTATCTTGTTTAGAAGATTAGTCACAATTCTATAGTATAAATACTGTGTTTGCCTAAGTTCTACCATATTGTACTTGTACATAGAAGTGCTATATATTTTTTTAACATTAGCAATTTTGATTGAACAAAAGAAACTTCTTTTTGAACAAAAGAAGACCAACAAATTGTTGTCTGAAATTTTGAAAAAGACCAATAGAAAAAGAATCTGTAAATACTGATAATGTAAGTCAATTTAATTTTTGTAATTTAATTGAAAAAAGCTCATCCAATGAGAGCACAACTTGCTAGTATTTACCAAATTGAATAAAATAAATATTGATTGCTAAAGGAAGGGCTGGTACATTTATATACAAAAGGTTGCATAATTTGACCATGCATTGAAAAATGTTTACTAAATCCGAACTTATCTGTATTTTACTTTTTAGGCCGTGTATACTGGTTTTGATGCTGAATTTAAATTATACGACATTCAAAGACGAGAACCATGTAGCTTTGCAAGAAAATTTATTTTATTGCGATTCGGAAAGGAGTTTACTTGCACGCGTACCAAACGGACCTACTGCACGCATTCATATGGAGAATGAAGAAACTCAGGAAGTTAAAGGTGCATTTGACAAAGTGTTTACGTCTTACAACTGGCGTGTTGTTCGGGCGAGTATTAATCAATTTTTCCGAGACAATAAAAATAGTACAAAAGTTTTAAGACTAAACAAATTATGACAAGAGTGACATTTTTCTTGTGCGTTTGTCGCTTATCCCCCCATTCTAGCTGTTATGTGTTTTGTATGTTTTTTGTGTTAAATAAATACACCATCTAATTTATTCTAAATTTAGTTGTCTATTTAATTTTTTAAAGTTCGAATTTAGTATGAATTGAAAGTGTACATAAATGTTTCTTTCAGATGTCAACTTTCAGCGCTGCTGTTAGACGATAATAAAATTGCAAAGAATTATACGCGAAATGGTTTTAGTATTTCGATAGTTTTTATTTCATCCCTAGGTACTCTTGAGTTCTTAATAAACGCCCCTCCCCCGTTTAATAACTTTAAGGTATTTTTTCGACCCATCCTAAGCTTATTAAGACCTCCCCCCGCCCCGTTTAATAGTTTTTACTTGTTATCATAAAAAAATTCATATATCCTAAAATTAAAAAGTCTAAAAATCGGCCATAAAAATTAAGAAATAACTTTTGTGTCACCACTAAAAGCATAAACGTCCAGTGTATCAGGCTTTAAAATAGTTGACAGTATATCTGGATTTGCCGAAAAAGAACTTGGTTTATTACTCACCAAAGTACAAGCGTATCAAATTCTTTTATTTTTTTTTTATTTTAGGTGCCCTAAATTTTTACGGTCTTATCACAGAGCACCGCGGAGAATCATTTACTAAGAAGCTCACGCTTTTTCAAGTAACGTGTGAGTTATTTGAAAAATCTAGATATTTTGTCTATAACTTGTTTTTAACAAAAAAAAATTTTTTGAAAGCGTTCCTTTATTTAGTATATAAAAACCCACAAGCAAAGATATATAAAGTAACACCCGTTGTTGAGGATTGATACTAAATTTTGTGATTTAATGCAGTCTAACTGCAATTTTTAAAAGTTACTATGATGACTATGTGTTTCTGATTTTTACTTTCACAATATAATTGCTTGGTATTTTTATTCCTTTAGCCCTATTTTTATATTTGTTTATATTTCTTTGTCATTGCTGTGTTTAAAATGCTTTGTCCTGTCTTGTTGCACATATACTAATTCATCTCAAACTTTAAATCGAATGTTTCTAAAAGAAAAAGAAATTAATTAATAATGACGTCACTCTGTCATATAGTCACCCGTGTTGAATTTTATTGTTTATTTGACCTTATTCTTTAACAAACCATCATAATCTTAAAAAAGAAATCAAAAGAAAGCAGTGGAAACCTGTTTTTCTGACGCAATTGTCTTATTTTTTAATTTTAGATAAGTTATTATATAGAAAAAGGGGTTTTGTCGTAAAAAACTTAGGTTCCATTGATTCACTCAGGTTTATTTGACCTTATTCTTTAACAAACCATCATAATCTTAAAAAAGAAATCAAAAGAATCCAAAAGAAAGCAGTGGAAACCTGTTTTTTAGACGCAATTGTCTTAATTTTTAATTTAAGATAAGTTATTATATAGAAAAAGGGGTTTTGTCGTAAAAAACTTAGGTTCTTTTGATTCACTCAGGTTTATTTGACCTTATTCTTTAACAAACCATCATAATCTTAAAAAAGAAATTTATTGTCAGTATTGCGAGATTATTGCATAATATAATTGCAATTTTATTGTCAATATTGCGAGATTATTGCCCAAGATATTGGCCAATATTATTACAATTTTATTGTCAATATTGCAATATTATTGCCCAATATATTGCCAATCCATTGCAAGTTATTGGCAATATTGGCCAATAAAATTGCAATATTATTGCAATTAAAAAAAAAATGTTGATTAGTGCATACTCACGTTTAGATCTTTCATTAGAGAAATTGTAAGCCTCTAATAATTCATTGAAAGATTTTTATAATTCGAAAAACTTGACTGAAACGAGTTGATTTGCAAAATTTTCAAAATTGTTTACCAATTTATAAATTATTTCATTATAATTTATTGATTCAGTTAATAACAAAATAAACAACGCAAAAATAAACTTGTCGATATCAAATGAGATTGTTTTGAAATAAAAATGAAAAAATGAAGAATGGAATGCTTTGAGGAGGTTATACATTTTACATGATAACAACTTTCAAACACTAAAATATTATAAGATGAACTAAAATATTTGCGATGAGTTAAAATTTAAAATAAAGTAGTAAACAATACATAACTCCTCACATTTGAGGATAATATTTTAGGCTATTTTTGTTCTCAGTAAAATGTTTAGCAAAACATAAACATACTTAAGTTTGGAGTATGACTAATGCTTTAAAGTTGCATAGTCAAAAAAAAGCAGGTATCTTCATCTGTAAAAACTGATCAGATTAGGTTTTGACTAATTAAGTATTGCAAAATCAACAAAAAATTACCTTCTCGTATAACCTTAGAATTTATATTTTTATTTAAAAAAATCCTTTTTTTTATTCCGAAAAAATAAAAAAAAAGGAATAAATAAGGATTTAAATCTGCGATCTACTTATATAAAATAACTGATGTGAAATTAAAGGTTTTAATACTAAAACATGATTTTTTACAACATAAAAAAATTTATTTTCAATAAAATTATTATTAATTAACAACTTCCAAAATTGTCATATAAAACAAAAAAAATTTAAATTGTCATATAAAATAAAAAAAATTTAGACATATATTGTTATAGTTTACGTACAACAATTATTTTTGATAAAATTTTCAAATTTAAATTAAATTTAACGACCATATATATCTTTATTTAAAAATAAACACGAGTAAAAATAAAAAAAATTATTGTCTAATAGTTTAAAGAGTTCATGTTTCCAAACCTTTTAAACCGACAATAACATAGCTTAATTTTAAAAAATTCATATTTAAAATATTTAAATTACATTTTTTGAATTTTTGTAGTTCTCCAATCATCGAGATTCTCCAATCTCCAATCATCAAGATTCTCCAATCTCCAATCATCGAGATTCTTTAATCGATTTGAAAAGTTTATCGAGCAAGTTTTCTTCTGTTGCACTAATTTTATCGTCTTCTGGTAGTATGTTGCCGATTATTTTTTCCCCTACCAAATCAGTTGTTTTTGCCTCTTTTTTTTCATAGTCCTTTAACAGAGCATTTAATGATTGCAACTTTTGAGAAATATCAATTTTTGACGGACTTAGTATTGGTTTTTTTGGAGTTTCGTTTTTGTTAAAAATATCAACTGTTTTTTTCCACGGAAATCCTGCAGGTGTATTTTTACTTCTTTTATAGTCATTGTAAGTATTTAACAATGATTCTAACCATGGTACACCTGGAGGTCCTCCAATAGATCGTGGATGGTTTAACTGATTTTCTGAATTGCTTTCATAATCAGTATTAAATTTAGGAAATAAAGGATAAAACGAAGCCGCCAAATCTTTTAAATCGTATTTTTTTTTATAGAGTCCGAGCAAGTCAGTTTCTAACTCAAAAATATCTTGTTCTATTTTGGAAATATCTTCTTTTTTACTTTCGTGCAAAAAATGATTTTTATCCAAACAACTTGCTGCTTCATAACCTATACAGTTAGTAAATAAATAATTTTTATAAATAATAAATTATTTTTATAACTAATTTAAAATAATAATTATCACAAAAATCTCAGAAAAAAAAAAATTTTTAATTAAAATTACTATTGTAAAATATCATTTATGGTAAAGTTACTTTTAAATAATATGTATATATTCGAAATTCTCTATCATACTTTTCTTTATAAACTCTCATTAAGTTCTAAATCTTTTACTAAAACCTCAGACAATAAAACTTTCCCTAACCCCCACCCCCGTCCTCCTTGTACCTTTTTAAATATTTTTTAAATAATAAGTCTTATAAATTAAGTTGAAATTTAACGACGCACAAACAATAAAACAAGACGTCATATGTTTGCTAAGAATTTGAATTATGTACATCCCACTTAGTTCCTGCATACATTTATTATCAAAACACCATCACTCAATAACAATCATACAATAACAAGATTTTTTTTTCGCTTTTGGTAATAGTCATTTTATCTTTTCTTTTAAATTTTTGCATTTTAACAATAGCAAAAATCCAGAGTACAATGTGATTGAAACAAATGTTTTAACTTGGAAAAAATCTGAACGTTGAACAGTGTTTTGTGTTATATCACGTTTGGTGGCATAAAACTGTGTCCTGTGGTACAGCATTGTGTTCTGTGACACAACACTGTGTTCTGTGACATGATACTGACAGTTGAATTTGGTTTGTGTTATACCACTGGACATCAGTTACTTTAGTTTTAATGTAAAGAAATTATTTGATAATAATCGAAAGCAAAAACAAATCTGAAGGGTAAAGCGGGGCATAATGAGACAGGGTCCCAAATGTATTGTTTTAAAGATTTTTTAATAGTGCAGTTGTGTTCTAAAAACATTTAGTGTTTTGAAAAATATCACAACTTTGAAATAAAAAATGAAGAGAGTGACAATCATTTCATACCTTGGGTATATGACAATTACGAATTTTGAAGGTTTATTATTATAACTTTTCAGCCTTTTTTGATCTCGTGCAGGGCAAAAGGGACAGTTTATCCTGGGCGACAGATATCCAAAGGATGCCAAATGAAAAAAAGGTACCTAAAAAAAGGTCCTTCATCTATAACATTGGAAAATTTTGATAAATAAGAGCGCCAATCTGAGTTGGTGTCCCAGGCAGCGTAACGGTTCTCGTTCAGCGTAACGGTTCTCGGCGTTCCTGATCTCGTGTAATTCAAAATAACTTTATATTTAAAGTCTATGTGTTATTTTCATCATTAAAAATTTTTCTATCATTGCCATACAGTCTATCATACACCCTATTTATTTGCTTAATAAAATTGTCTGAAAATTAGGCGACTTTGATACCTACATTTTGCGGGGCAATATGAGACATTTTGTTTTTATTTGTTTAGCCACATTTTTTTTAATGATGTAATATTTACTGTGTTCAGTTTTTATCCAACACATTAAATTGTTTAATATTTTGTTTACTTATATTCATTGTATTTACCTAATATGTTTAAATTTATCTAAGAGGTATATTTGTTGCATTTATTTTTATTTGAAACAGTCTAGTAATGTAAACATAATACACAATGAGTAGATTTGTAAACTTATAGGTATTAAAAAAAGCAATTTGTTTTATTTGTTCCTGTAAATGGTAAACTTTTTTTATTTTAAGTTTTACATTTTGAAAAGCCCACAAGAGCTACTAAAGAAGGAAGCACACAAGTGTTACTGAAAACAAAATTCATTTTATTTTAGATGAGTACAAAACTCGTATAAAAAACTTAAACTTATTGGATTTTGCAGAAAAAAATGGAATAGCAATTGAAACGTAACCACCTCATACCTCAGATATGTTGCAGCCATATTTGTGAATTGTATGATTTGTAGCAGTGTGTTTGATTTATTTAAAAACAATCGAGTTGTAAAATATATTTTTTTATAGAAACAATTTATCTTACTAGTTCTTTTTAAAATCTCGTTTGTTTACCTTAGATTAATTCTTAAAAACAATTTGTCTCATTTTGACATATGTGAGTCAAAATAAGAAAGCACAGATTTGTCAATTAATGATTCCTAGAAACCGAACCATTGATGTTTTAAAACTCATACTTTTTTTTAATTACAGTAGGATGTTGAAAAGTTTTAAAAAAATCTTGTTTTTTTATTTCAAAACTTGATACATCGGCCGTATGTTGCATGGACCGAATTAGATAAACTATTGGTTATGTGTCTCATTTCGCCCCTCATTACCCTATACGCCCCTCATGCCCCTCATTACCCTAAATAACCTTTTTGTTTTATTTTTGAAAAGAAAATTTAAAGTTTAATAATTAGATTCTTTTATTTAATCTGCAATTAAAAACCAGTTTTTTATAAATACAATAGGTTTTAAGGTGATTGGCCCAAAAACAAATCCTATGTTTTTCAACAAACAAAACAAAGACAACAACCAAAAAAATTAAAAACAGTCAAAAAAATTATGGATAAATAGAATAAGAATGAAAAACGTGAACCTTGTGTTGCTGATGGTTTTTAACATTTCTTGAAGAGGGTTTTATTTCGCAAAAATAACTTAGTTGCCGACAGCCAATTGTTGACTATGGTAAAACTCTCTTATCCATAAACCAAGGACGATTGTATAGTGATGGACGTTTAACTTATTGTTATTGATCAGAAACGCCGCCAATAACTGAAATTCTATGCGCGTGATTATTTTGAGCATCTTTCTTTGAAATATTTTTACCGAATAAACGGCAATTTACCCGACATTTTTGCTTTGATGACTTCTTTCAATAAATATTCAATTACCCGCAAAAAAACTTTTGGGAAATAAAAAAACATTTCATATAAAGATTCTTACCTATCAATTAAAACATTTACAAACCCATGAGCTATTCTTAAGCTTGTAGCTTAAGAATATATCATGTATATTATATATATATATATATATATATATATATATATATATATATATATATATATATATATATATATATATATATATATATATATATATATATATATATATATATATATATATATATATATATAAGAACATATCAATCTTATTTTCTAGCTTAAGAATATTGGGGTTGTTTAGCCATTGTTATTATCAAAGGTAGTCATTGTTTGCCGAGCAACATTAAGAAAAAATACGACTACAGTAAACAATAGTCTAAAAGAAAAAACTAAAATAGAAATAATTACCAAGAGTTACAATGTATCCAAAGAAGGTCGTCAATAAAAGCGTTGTAAACATTTTAGATTTCTATTAATTTCTTCACTAAAGTTATAAACAGAAGAATATATATATATATATATATATATATATATATATATATATATATATATATATATATATATATATATATATATATATATATATATATATATATATATATATATATATATATATATATATATATACATATATATATATATATTTTTTTTTTTCAAAAGTATACACTTTGCCGTATTTATTGAGTTCTAATTATATTGCGATAGTCTGTTTAACATAACCTCTAAGTTTTCAATAGTTTTTAGTAAAATTTTAGGAGTATATATCTGTATTTATATATGGCGTTAAACGCTAATTAATTCATTGTCTTTCCAAAATCAATCAATAATTGTTTAAAAGATTATGAAAGAATCGCGGAACCTTATATAGAAAATTTGATCACCTAAAGATTAATTCCTTAAACTTTAAACAATTTGTTTTCGGTAAAACTGACAATGAAATCAAACATGACATCTATTGTTGGCAAGGTTTGCAACGGTTTGCTACGCAACTGACGTAGGTAATTTACGTGGCAAACGATTTTGAATAATGAAATATTATGAAAGTAATCAATACTTCATTTCAAAAAAAATCTTCATACTAAAATTGAGCTAAAACATTGCTAGTTTCGTTTTCTCTAAAGTTATTGAAAAAATTACGAAAAAAGTATTGGAATAAAACAAGACAAGATCGTTGAATTTTTATTTCCTGAAAATTTTTGATCTATGAATTGAATGAGTATGAATTGAATGAACTGATATGAACCATCAGAGTTTTATAACCAAGGAAAAAGTTTTAAAACTTTAGCCTGAGAATTAAACTGGAATATTGGAATTAGATTGGAAATACACTGAAGTTACGCTAAAGCTGGACTGAAAATAGACCAAAATTTAAATTTATGAAATTTTATATTTTCATTAAATACTTATTTATATTTACTTTACTATTATACGTAATTAAAAATATATTTTTATATTAATAAGTAATCAGTTGTCATAAAATGAAGATTTATATTATTTGTTTGGAAGTAAAATTATTATAGGGCGATAGATTTGATAAAGAAATACAAATATGTGCAATTTACTTTTTACTTTTAAACCAAAACTCAAAAAATAAGTAAACAAAACTAATTGTTATATTATACTGATTATTTATAAAACGAGTAAACAAAAAGTATTGACAACTGAATGGGTCAAATGAGTCAAAGATTTACTCAGTATAAAAACTTCGAATGCAATTAATTAGCACGTTGACGTCGCATTTTTAAGTTACAGTTAGCATGTTGACGTCACATGCATAACGCGTTTAAAAGATTTTAACCCGATAGTGCTAAAATGCGATTTCTTTCAAACACAAAAAAATAGCAAAAATGTCAACTTAAATTAACATCAATAAACTTTGCAGTTTCCTGAGAGAAATGTTACAATGGCATGATGGTAACATTAAAGCATTTTTTGAAGTCAGCTTTCTTTTGTATAAAAGTTTTTTTTGGTTATAAATTTGTATTTAATTTTTTTATATGTAAAATTGAATAAAAAACTTGTTTTAAAATAAAAGTCTATAAAAGTCTTATAAAAGTCTATAAGACGTCTTTTAGACAAAATTCTCATCCGAAATACTTTTCGTATATTTATATAATTTAACTTTTTAACTTTAGATAAAATCAAAGTTAAGTATTTGTTGTTATATTTTATACTTAAACACACATATTTATTCATTTTTCCTTTTTAAATAACTTTTTTTCTATCTAATTTTTTTTCTTATATTTTGGTGCAGTATGGATAAACGGCATAAATTTTCTTGTCTCCACAATTCTTTCGCAGCAATTAGCGGCTGCCACCCATTTGATTTTTAGCAGCAAGATGTTCTGGCTTCCGCCTCCAATGGCTTCTGCCTTTCTATTGGTGCCCGCTGCTAGAGTTATTTTTGGATGCAAAACGGTTTGAAGACAATAGAGAAGCGGAAGGCATTGGTGGCAGCCTCCAAAAGAAATGTCGAAGTCAAATGATTTAGAGGCCGCCTAGCTGGCCGCGGCCGCCAAATTGGAGGCAGAAATATTTGCCTCCCGCCGGCGGAAGCAGTGAAAAATAACTTCACGTTAGTTTTTAAGTTAACGAGCAGTTTAAATATTAATTAGGAACAAATGTTAAAAATTCGATTTCAAAGTTTCGTTTTACATGATTTATTGAAAAAGTTTTGACTATTTAATTAAAATTAAAATATTGTCGGAGTGTCGGAGTGTCGGAGTGGTTGTTTATCGAATAAATGCAAATAAAATCAAACAAAATTGAAAAAAAAACTATTCAATAAATTAGTCCTTTCAAACTTAAAACGATATTTATATATCAAATTTCAAATCTAAAAATGTTAAAAATTGAAAATATCTTTTCTATGCCTTATGCGAAAAAAACATTTTGAAAAAATAAGTTTATAATAAATAATTAAATTGACAGTTTGTGATCAAAACCTGATGTTTTGTCGCCTATTCATCATGCAAAAACTTTCATTGTACGATCATAACATTAAATTTTTAACTTTAATGCTTAATTGCTAAATGCTAAAACATTAAATTTATTCCTAATGCTTTACTCAATATTGCACAACTTAGAGCGTGTGTAATTTGCGGAATATGTTATAATAATATTATAAAAATCGGGTATTAGTTTTCCACTTCCAAGCATAGATCGCCGTGTAACGCCAATAAAAGTTGCAGATTCTTAGTTGAAGTTTTTCACTTTCTATAAGTTGTGTTAGGTTTGTAAACGATCCCTAAGTACCCAAAATATTAATGCAATCTATGATCTATATCCCAAGAGTCAACTCTTATTCTTAGCAGCCGTATTTCTGGTTAGAATTAATAGTTTACGTGTTATTAGTTAGAGCAATGGCTTCAGAATTAAGAATCCAAAGTTCAATGGCAGTAACATCAGTTTCGGAAGTTGGAGAAAACTTGCTTTTCTAATGTTTCCGTGGATTTTGGTGATGTACCCATTTGAACTTCTTGGGGCAATTTAACAACTGGAAACGTTAAGTGGCTGTTTATCATTAACTTAGACTAAGGTTGAGTTTTATTAGAGTTTTGAGAAACCTTAAATATAGCTATAGAGAAATCCTTCAATATAGCTTCATCTTCTCAATAAAAAATAAATAGAAAGTCCATGGGCATAGGTAGCTTTTTTTTTCACAACCAGTCTTTTGGAAACAAAACGTTCTTTGACCATATCTGGATGATGGTTAATTTAAAGGTGAATTAAGGGCAATAAATTATTTAAAGGTTTAACAAATTCATTGAAACAGAAAAAGATTTATTTTTTGCAATGAGATTTGTGATATTTTGTTCAATGAATTTTTTGATATTTTGTTCAATGAGATTTTTGATATTTTGTTCAATGTGCCTTTTCATCTTTTTGATCTTTTGTTCAACGAACACTGTGAAAAATATCATACCAATTTCTTGAACGTCCTACCAAAACGTTTAAATTTCACGCCGCTTTTAAACATCGACAAAAAAATGCGTCTCAGCTTTTATTAGTCACGTGATTAATAAAAGCTTATAAATGTAATGGCGAGAAAGTTGCAATACTTTTTTTTATAAGAAAATGCGAACGAAAGTGTATGCAAATATCTAACTTACGTAAACTTCAAACTATGTACTGTTAAAACATATATCAACTTTTGCAGCTTTCCCTTTTCTTTTATTTTTTTAGTTTTTTTTTCGATTTTTTAAATTACTAAATAAAATATTTTTATAGTTTTTTTTTTTTAAATTTTTAGTTTTATAAAATTTTACTTATATTTAAAAAAAAAAAGTTTTACTTATATTTAAAAAATGCCTATCAGCAAAATCTCCTTAGTTTTTATTTATAGCATTTATTTGCCGTTTTATAAAGTTATTTCGTTTTTAGTCTATAAAATAGTATTAAAAACTAGCAGATTCGTGACCGAAGTAGTTAGCTTGCACTTCCGAAGTACAACGCGAGGGTTAAAATCCTGTGGCTTGCACATTATCATTATTTTTTTAAAAATCTTTTCCGATTTTCTAAAATACAAAATAAAACTTTTTTAAAGTTCTAGTGATGTTATATACATAACATATATTAAGATATTATACTATAACAAACAAAGGAATTTTTTTTTTTTTTGCGGGGGGATATTTAAATCAACAAAACATTTTTGACTTATTTAAAGTACAACTTTTTAAGTGAAAACAGCATTTTAGAAAAGTTTAGACGACATTAAAATTAAAAGTACGAGGTGATGTATTTTTTTCGCCTTCAACGCAACGAGAAATTAAAAATCTTTTTATCTCATAATCATACTAATTTCTCTTCACTTAATTAAACTCTTCTTTTAACATAAATAAAAACTCTTTACATATACAAATACAAATAACACATTTTTACTTCCTTTAATCATTTTTTTACCCATGTTCACATAAATTTAACACAATACAATAATCCATAGAAATGTACATTAAAAAAACGCTTAAACATAACAAAAATAATTACTAATATTATTAGTAATAAAAATAATTACTAATACTAATAGTAATAAAAAAAACTATGAAACGAAAATCACAACTTTCCACGACAACACGTCAACGAAAATCACAACGTCTTTAAATAATGTTTGGTAACTTTCCACGACAATATTAAAAGTGCTACTTGGAATAGATTTTAACAAAATTTAATGAATAAAAATCTAAAACCGTCTTCTGTTAAGGTAAATGTTAAAAAAAAAAACTGCGCATGTTGAGAGGTTACATTGACTTATACACTTTGAAAAAATACACTTTGAAAAAATACAGGCATAAAAAATAAATTCTCATATTTCTTATTATTATTTCAATATATAAGGCCTATAGACTAATATATGACCTTAAAATTAAAAATGTTGTAAGTTTGGCATCATAATTCTTTTTTTAAATGACTTTTTTCATTTTTGATTAACATTTAAAAGTTAATCAAAAATGAAACAATTTAACAAGGTAAAAAGTTGCCATTTTCGTGGTAAAAACTGACATACTTAGCTCAAAAAACATTGCATGGAAAAAATTATATCAGTTTTATATTGCTGGGGGTCCCACTGTGCAGCTGTTGAAATTTATTGCGTATATGTCACGATAAAAATACATTACTTATTAATGTGCTTAGGTAAAGTGTTAAGTCTGCACGTTTAACACACACGAACAAGACAACTTTCTTCCTTATAGAAAAAAGATTTTACATTCAAACTTTTATTTTATTCATTAATTTTTTTTTAACGGGGTGAGGGTCCTAATAAGCGGATGGTTTAAAAAATAATTAAACAAAAACTTGAAAGAAACTTAACAAAGAAAAATATTGTTAGTCTTTTTTTTTTTTTTTATAGAAGTTTACAATTTTACAATAAAAAGTTATAAAGTATTGAATATTGTTTTTTTTTTTTTTACTATTTTATATTAATTTTTTATTTAAAGATTTGACAGATTTTTATTTTCTACCACTAACCACGTGATGGAACCATGATCCGTAATATATGGGTCATGGTAAGTTCATTTTTCCAAATATTTTTAAGTCTAATTTCTAATGTTTTTAAATCAATCTTAATTAACCAACTTATTTCAAGCGGGTATTCTAAATATTATTTAGAATACCCACATCGGGTACAAATATCCTACTCGCTAATAAATAGCGGTTCGCGCAACGACTACCGAAACGTTTAAAATCTTTTAAAGTAAGTTATGTTATAAATTGTATTTTTGTTTATACTAAAAACTATTCAAGTAAGTAATAAATGTAGAAATGGTCGGTGTAGAGTAGACTTACCAAAACCCATTATATATATATATATATATATATATATATATATATATATATATATATATATATATATATATATATATATATATATATATATATATATATATATATATATATATATATATATATATATATATATATATATATATATATATATATATATATATATATATATATATATATATATATATATATATATATATATATATATATATATATATATATATATATATATATATATATATATATATTAATATATATAAATAAAAAAAAAAAAGACACTTATCTAACTTGGGCATCTACTGTCAGTATTGGCGGAAAGTTTAATAATCTATAGCACTTAACTTATAATAATTTTAAGAAAGTTAAATTATAAATTAAAGCTGTTTATATTATTGTTAAGTAAATCTTACTTGAATCCTTTATATTTATAACAATTATTCTTTGACTACATAAACAATGTATTTTTAGTGGCATTAATCTTTTTTCCGGTGAAAAATCTTTTTATTTTTTTTGTATTTGTTTGAAAATGAACTCTAAAAAGCATGTTTAAAAATTTTTATGTTAAAATTTAATTGGCCAAAAATAGCCAAACACAAAAAGCAAATTTGTTGTCTCCGAAAGCTTACGAACCTTAGCGAGTTTAGGGTGCGCCTTTTACACGTCTATTGTCGATTTCTCCATGAACAGGACCATCAGAACGCTTCCTTCTTGATTCGGTTGATGATAAGCTTCCTGATGATTTTTCTGAAAGAGAAACTGACGGTAAAAGCTCAAATTAGATAACTTTTTTTTACTAATTTGTTACTACTCTGTTCTATAAGAACATTGAGCACTCGTTGAGTTTCATATACAGAGCTAACAAATCAATCAGGCTTTATCAAATATTTATATATTAGGGATATTGCATTTTAGCAGATGCGGAATTCCTCTGACAATAACTTATATAATTTTAGTTAAATATATATATATATATATATATATATATATATATATATATATACATATATATATATATATATATATATATATATATATATATATATTTATATATATATATATATATATATATATATATATATATATATATATATATATATATATATATATATATATATATATATATATATATTTAACTAAAAGTCAACTTCGAGCTCTCAATTCAAATCAGCAAACGCAATACCACTAACCAAAAAAGGTGGTAAGACTCTGTCAAGCAACTACCGTTCAATTTCTTTGACTTCAGTTCGATGTAAAAATATTGAAAGTATAATTAGAGCTAAATTAAATGACCACTGTATAAAAATTATCTACTAGTAAGACAGCAACAAGGCTTCATTAGAAACAAATTATGTACCACTAATCTGTTAGAAAGCATTGGTTACATTTTGTCAAACTTAAATGTCGGTGTTCAAGATGATGTACTTAGTTAAATTTTTCAAAAGCCTTCAACCCTTTTCCACACAAAAATTACGAGTCAAACTGAAAGCATACGACTTTAATTTTTAATTTGATTGAAGCGTTTCTAGGAAGCAGAAGACAAAAAGTTGCTCAATGCGAAATCATTTCTGACTGGGTTAAGATTCAGTGGTGTACCACAAGGTTCTGTAATTGTTGCACTTCTGTTTCTTTTATATTAATGACCTTCCTAAAATTTTCCTTAATGTCACCAAACTATTTGCAGATAATAAAAAAATACTTTCAAAAATATTCTCAGAACTGTGTAATACTAAATTTCAAACTGACCTAGATAATGCATACAAATGGTCTCAAACTTGGCTTATTCTATTTAACATCTCAAAATATGTAGTTATGCATTATGGCCATAACAAGAAAAACGTTTTGTTTTATATAAACGGTATTAAATTGACTGAGTCTGATACAGAAAGAGATCTTAGAGCACTTTCCTACTCTTACAGTACAAATTAATTGAAAAAATCAAACCATTACTGCTTCCAACAAAGCAAACCAAATTTCTGGTCGCATAAAGAAACCTTTTGCTTATTTTGATTGCGAATTACTTCAATCGCTTTATTTTTATTTTAAATTATTTTGATCGTTTTATTAATTTACTATTGCTATTACTAAAGTTTGCAATTCCAGTTTGGTCTCCTTTTCTAAAATCTGATTCTGACAATATGGAAATAATCCAGCACAAAGCTGCTATGCTTTTTTTATATGAAAAAAAAACTCAAAGAATTAAATCTAACTGCATTAGTGGAAAGGCGACAAAGGGGAGATCTGACAAATGTTTAAAACTATGCATAACGTTGACAAACTAGAAAAAAATATTTGTTTTTGCTAACAATTGCAAACAATCAGTTGAGAGGTCACTGTCTTAAATACGGCAAGAAAATGACAAGATATAAGTAATGAAAAATAATTTTTTTCTTTAATAAAACAGCGAATTTATGAAACTCTCTGCCAAAAGAAGTCGTTCAATTATCTTCAGTCAACAGTTTTAAACCAGCAATCGATGACTTTGGTTGTCGCAATGTGCCTGATAACACACTCACAGGCCATGCTAGTAACAGCTTTTACAATTATATTACAATTAACTAACTAACTCACATTATGTTCATTATATTAAGTCTATTACAATTATTTTAACATTAATTATAATAATTTTGATATAATACTTAAAGAAATCAATTTGATAATCTATCCAAATGTATTGAAATTACCAAATGTAAAAAGTTGACACAAAAGCAAGCTTCTGCTTAATTGAGTGTTGGTTGATAGTGCAGCAGATAATCATTAAAAATGACTGAAATTGTGCACAAGTGGATAAAAGCATAAAAATTTTAACAACTACTCATTAAGCTATGCTGATAGTTTTGAGATAAGGTATATTTTTAAATTATATTTTTGAGATAAAAATATAATTTAACCAGGGTATCATTTTTATAACTAAGTTTTTCAATTAAGTTTAAGAAAGTGCAGCGTTTACCAGTAAATATCGATGAAATTATTACACGGTTTAAAAAATAAAAAGAAATTATTATTAAAAATATTAAATGATAAAGAACTATTGTTATTTAAATAATTCTTTGTAATTTATGAAAAAATCATTAATGAAATGACTTTCTGTTTCTATTGTTTTCAAAAGTGGTATATAAAATGTAGAAAAATTCGATAAGAATTATGACTCTAATAATCCTAGAGTTATTAGAGTCATTTTTTTGCAGGACTGCAAAGAAGGAAAAATACGATAAATATCAGCACCGTCAAAAGATCACTTTGACAATAATCGAAAAAAAGCATAGATTGATTCCTTCAGATTTTTTTACTGTTATCTATCTCACTTTATAGACTCAGTGAGATATGCTTATTTCTCATTATTTTTTTTGAGGATTATGATTTTTTTTTTTACCTATTCTTGATTTATGTAGAGGAAAATTTTATCAAAATGTTTTATTAAAATAGTATTTATTAAAACTAGCAAGCAAATGCAATAACAATGTAGCAACGCAAAATTAAACGCAATAACAATAAACCAATGCAATATTAAATGCAGTAACAAGGAGGCAATAAGTGTTTACATGTAATCAGATAAAATAATTTTAACAGATAAAATGATTTTCTTTTAATGTACTAGTCAGGGATGCGGACCTGGATGGCGCAAAATCTGCATAAAAACTAAATTTTTTTGGTCTTTTCAAAGCCCTTGGTACATTTTACTTAGTACATTTTAGTCTTTTCAAAGTCCGTAGTACATTTTCAAATCTACCAGAACTTTTTGTATTAAAATATTTATAATGTATAAAAGTATTTTTATAAAATTGTGTTGTATACTAAACAATATATCAAGCTAAATCTGGTTCAATTTTGAATTTTGTGGCAAAGAGTTTTCACAAAACAAAACACTTTGCAACGAATTTATCATTGTTATAACAAAAAATCTTTTATGAAGAAATATTTGTTTAATCATTTCAAAATTAACTTTACATAATATAAAATGCAGTCTTTTATTCATAAAAAACTTCATTGTCCCGATGTCAAAGAACATTTTGGAAATTTTCGGTTTACCAAACCGTACTTTCAGTTTTACGACGGAAGTTCCTGCCAAATTTGAAGTTTATTTTGTTAACGATCGTAACGCGTAATGATTCGGCGTTAAACAACACAAAGTTTACGAGTTATTTATTACTCCTAGATATTTAAATTATCAACTAAATATATAACTTGCTTGAAAATGTCAAAGTGGTTCATATAAACTTTAACTTCAATTAAAAATGACTTTTATAAGCGGTCTACTAGCATTTTTGAAAATCATTTCTACGCTTGATGCAGCTCGAATAAATCAACAAAGTAAGTTTTGTATTTTTTAAAAAAACATTTTGGATTGTGACTAACAAATATTTAATAAATAGTTTAAGCAAAAATAAAATAAGTGTTTTACACATATAAATATATTTTTTGGTATCTTTTATTTTTTAAACGGACAATTTTTTATTTGCAATGCTCGAAATGTTTCGCATCGTTAAATTAATACTCAAAATTATCGCGATCGTTTATTTAAAAATTATCGCGATTGTTTATTTCAATAAATACAACAACTGTTTTTTAATAAACAAATGAAGCAAAAAAAAAGAAAAAAAAAGGTACCATTTCAATTTTTTTCCAATAATTTCTTTAAGCTGAACCCTGTTTCTGGTTTAGAAGTCTGAGAAAGGACATTTATAAATGAATAGACTTCTTCACTATCTGAATAACTTATTATTACATCTCAGAAAATCGATCATATTTTAAGTTATTTCAAATCAAAAAGCTTATAGAACTGGTGTGAAAATTAAAAATTAAAAACTAATTATTACATCAAACATATCCGGAATCTAACTACGAACTTTTATTAAAACACTTCTCTGAAATAAAAACTAAAAACATTTTCGAATTTATTAGTTTTCAATCCGTGAAATTTTCAATTTATTCGATGAATTACTGATAATATAATACCTAAAAAAATTTTCAGAAAATATTTGATCTTAATATTGTCTTTTAGATTTATAATGACGTACAAGGGTTGAATTATGCGATTGCGAAATGAAAAATCCGGACAAATATCTGGTCTTTGTTTTTAAGGAGCAAATTATTATAAGTTTGTTAGCGAAAAAGTTATAAAAAAAAACAATAAACTTACGACTACCAAAGTAATAACACTCTAGTTGCTAACTGCATTATAAATGTAATTACACTATCATAGTGTTATTTTACTTTTAAAAGGCACTTATAACTTTAAAAGTTCATTCTTTTGTTCAAACAACATTAGTAATTCCAAACTTTAATCAAAGTAAAAGTACATCTAGAAAAAATAAAGTGGAAAATATTATTAAAAACTTTAGGAATTTTTGCAAATAAACTTAAACAACGATATAAAAGCCTACTGTGTAAATAGGTTATAGGGGTGCAACCAGCAATTTTAAGTCTTTGAGATTGATAACTTCCAGATACAGAGCAAACTTCAAACATTTATATGTTTATAGTTATGTTAAATGAGCATGCATTGCTAAAAATTGCAATGATTGGAGTCTGGGAATAAAAAAGCCCCAAAATTTTGACCCTCTGCCCCAAACGTGAGAGCAACAAGCTGTTAAAATATTTTTTGTATTATTTTTAACTAGACTTTTATTCATTGATAAATTTTCAATTTCGTAGTAAAATACTTTAGCGTTCAAAAATTATAACCATATAAAGTTTAATCCAGGTTCGAAACGAGCACTGGACATATTTTTGCATCACAGTAAGGAAGGAAGCGTGAAGTTCCTGGTTAAATGTACTTCCACGATGCTCTGTGACAAGACCGTTAGATTTTCTTCAGGCACCTAAATAACAAAGAAAAAAAAAAAAAAAACTCATTTTGGGAGGTTGCAAGTTTTATATTGTCATAATTTTTGAACGCTAAAATATAATAATATGAAACTTAAAATTTATCCATGAATATAAGTCTAGTTGAAAATAATACAAAAATATTTCATCAACTTGTTGCTCTCACGTTTGGGGCAGGAGGGAGGGGGTCAAAATTTTTGGGCTTTTTTGTTCCCAAGCTCTAATCATCGCAATTTTTTGCAAAGCATCCTCATTTGACATAAGTATAAACATATAAATGTTTAGAGTTTGCTCCATGTCTGAAAGTTAGCTATCTCAAAAACCAAAAATTGTTGGTTGCGCCCTGAGGTTAGCATTATAAAAAAAATTAGTCCGTAAAAACGCGTTTTAATTTTAAAATCAACCATTAAAAAGTTTTTATTGGTTGATTTTAAAATTAACGCGCGTTTTTACGGACCGTTATTAATATTTTTCATAATGCTAAACTTTTAATACAGTACGTTTTTATAATGATGTTTAAGTTCCTTAATAAGTTTTAAATGTTATTTTAATATCTACTCTATTTTTTAATAGAGTAGATATTTAATTAAAGTAGAAAAGCATCTTTTTCTAGATGCTTTTCTACTTGAATTATAATTAAGGATAACTTATGGTGTGTGACAAAGAATGAATTAAATAAGTTAAAAGTGCATTATAAAAGTAATAACACTATTATTCCTTTTATTATTAGTTACTATAGTGTTATTATTTTTTTATTTTTTATAACTTTTTCGCTAACAAATTCAAGTTGAATCGCCCCTTGAAAACAACTAACACGGCTTTGCATAAACTAAAATTTGAAGATATTTCTAAAGACCAGATATTTTTCCGGATTTCTCATTTCGCGATCCTTTGGATTTCTCATTTCGCGATCCTTTTAAACATAATTATAAAACAAAAATAAACTACTTAAATTACACGGCCTGATTTGTTGCATTTTCCGTAAAAAATTAAGAGGCCAGTTATTTTACGGCTCAAGTATAAAAACTTCATTTTTGTTATGGTTAAGAGTCTTGTTTGCACTATAGTTGTTTTATCTTTATTTTATTCAAATGGTTTAATAATAGTTAGATTTTCTTTTAGAACTTACATTAATTTGTGCTAGATTTTTTGTTAACTGATTGCCTGCTTCAGTTTATTCCAATAACAAAGAATACTGAAACAGGCTTTCAGATAGCTATATTAACACAAACCAACATGCTACTAAAAATAATCTTACATATTGCTAAAACTACTCACAATTCTCTATTGGAAATAATTTTAAAGGTTTGTAATTTTGTATTTAATATAATTGCAATTGTTAAGTAGAAAACATAAACTTTTCTTCAAAATATTTACACTGCAAAACAAGGTTTTCCAATATAAATACTTTACTATGCTGGATGTCTCAAACATACAGTAATTAAAATGCAATAAATCAGGCCATTTATTTACATTAGGCAAGAAATATCAGGCATACCAACTGTTTTCGAGTCAATAGCTGTTAATAAATTTTTTTCATTGCCAAATAAATGCTTATCATATTTCTTTATTTAAATGATTTCGCAGAGGTGAAAATTACAAATTAAAAAATTAGAATATATTAGAAAAATCATTGACAAAAATTTGGTATCAAGAGATTACTTGGTTCTTGTGGGTAAGATGTACTTCCAAAAAGCAGCCCAATACCAAAGTGGTAAACGATTTGATGAAGATTGAGAAAATAATCTTTTTAAAAAAGTTTTTAAAGAAGTTTTTTGTTTTTATGATTGTAGGGCTTCAAAAATTTATTCTTATGTTTTGAAATCCTCATCTAAAGTTTACATAACTGGTTTATGTTTGAAAAAAGAAAATGATGAGTACCTCAATGCACCAATCTGAATTCAAGATAAGAGCTGTTGTTACCGATAACCATTCTACAAATGTTAATGCATTTTGTAGTTTAATAAAGCATATACTGGAGATGGAAAAGTATTAATTTATCATTTAGTTTAGAAAAGGAGTGTTTAAAACATACTTGTTATTCTCGGTTTTTGTTTTTTTCTTCTTGTTGAAGTTACTGCTGATTACATTACAGGGAATATATTTCTTAAAGTTTATTAAAAGATCAATTATTAAACAGGCAAGAAAAAGCAATAAAAATTAATTATCAAGTCACATATTTTGGAAACAACAAACAAGTTGTCAACATTGAAAATATTTGACGAAACAACTGCAGCTGTAATTTAGAGTTATTTTTCTGAAAGAAATGACGCAGCACAATTTTTATCATTGTTTTATAAGTTATTTATCATACTTAATTCAAAGCAGAAACTTAATTCATCCAATCAAACTCAGCAGTGTTGCTTTGAAAGGTGATAACAAACCCACACTTTATAGAGAAATTGCAAATTGTACTGAAATTTGATCAAAATAAAATTTGATAAATACTTTACATTAACCAAACAAACTTCTTGTGCTATAATTACAACACTAAAAGTAATTGTATTTCTTATACATGATTTCCTTAAAGAAGGCTTTACATTTGTTTATAGTTCTAATTTACAAAGTGATCCTTTAAAGCTAGGTTTTAGTAAGTTTAGTTAAATGACCAGTAGTAGACTTTTTGCGAGTCTTTTAGAAATATGCATTAGTAAAAATATTTTGGCAGATTTTCTCAGAAAATATTTATCAGAATTTTGATAATCCTTAAAAAATATTATGCAAAATATTTCTTATTAGTCTACATAAATACTACTGTCAGCTTTTTGAAGATAGCACAGATATATATACTAAAGCAAATAATAATGGTAAAAATTAACAAAAAGATTTTAATTTAAAACTTATAATCAATAAATGCTACTTTATAAAGAGAAGAACCTATATATTCAATTCAACCTCTGTCTAATTTTATTTGTCATCTTTTTAGTATTTTATGTTATTTCTCTAATGAAACATTGCAGTCATTCTTTTTCAATTAAAAATTTGTGAAACATATTTTAAAGATTTGATCTAGGAGTTTTAATTTTACAAATAAAAACTACCAAAAATGGGGAATCAAATATAGATTTCGTATTGTTAACAATATTTTTTATAATAAAAAATTACATAATATGTAATTTTTTATTATAAAAAATATTGTAACATATTCATTGAGAAAAGAATATGTAACATATTCATTGAGAAAAGGTCAAGTAAAAGAATTCCAAAAAAGACAATGACAATGACAAAAGTACAAACCTTCTTTTTGTTCAATAGAGAGTTTTAGGCAATCTTAGCAACATGAAAGATTATTTTTAGTAGCATGTTGGTATGCGTTGATATAGTTATCTGAAAGCCTATTTCAGTATTCTGTGTTGTTGGAATAAACTGAAGCAGGCAATCAGTTAACAGAAAATCCAGCACAAAATAATGCAAGTACTCAAAGAAAATCTAACTATTATTAAACCATTTTAATTAAATAAAAATAAAACAATTATAGTGCAAAC